TGTTCCACTGCTGGGTGCCTCCGGAGTTTTTTTCCTGTCGTGTGATTTTTCTGGGAAACTTTTCGTCCATTTCATCTTGTTTTTTTTCTCTCCGACACGCTTTGAACAGCAGGAAACATCTTTATTCACACAGTACCATGCTTCAAGTTTTCCTTTGATCATGGTTTTAAAAAGAAATGCGGGATTCCAGCGGCTTCAATCTTCTCATCTTGAACCTGGATCTCAGGAGAACGCACTAGGTTCGAAATGGGTCAGAGAAGGAAAAAAAACGAAGGAAACGTAAGATGGGGTTCATTTCAGCAAATCAAACGAACAGCAAAAGAGAGCGGGGTCCACGTTGGACGGAGCAAGGAAAATCGCGGCTGGGGAAATCGAGTGAACGTCAAGCAGCCCGGCGCGGTTTCAAAGAGACAGCCACCCCGGTCTCGTAATTTCGTGCACCATTCGAACCCCCGCGTGCGTCCGTCGAAAACGTCAGCCTGAAATGTCATCGCCAGCACGCTATTCCGCGCAGGGTCCCATAGCCGGGTAATTTTACGCGGTCCGCGAAGCATCTCGGCACGCAAATTCGCCGGCTTCCATTTTCTCCGTGGGTATTTGTCGGGATTGCGGAGCTTCGAGTCATGCACCGCGAAATCGATTCATGTGGCGCGGTGCAACTGACGAGTGACGGAAGTGAGAACTGAAGACATAGTCGGGAAAATCGAAGCTGCGGGGTCCCGACAAACCGCGACATCTCCCTGAGATCTCAGTCAAAATCAGTATCATCGCTTGGCAATCAGGGCGACAAAAATACTGTATGAGGTTTCCACATTCTCCGTCAGTGTCTACTTCAATGGCGGTGCTTCGAGTCATATGCAGCAAACTCGATTAATGTTTGACACTGGGGCTGGAAAACGACAACTGAGCATGTTCATTGATGATAATTTGGCGCCATGGGTCTCGACACACAGCGACATCTCCCCGCGAGCTTCATAAGCCTTTTCCTACGATCCCTCGTCACATGTTATATTAAGCCTGTAGTCGCAGGAAATTCACTTCTGAACCGTTTTCTCTTAGAGGGATTTGCGTAAGAAAAAGCGTCTCAGACCGGAAATTCCACCAAAGTTGATTACATATTATTCGAGCTTTGCTTATCCGTGCATTCAATTGAACGTATACCCACCAATCGAGGAAACAAAGGGACTCAAATTATACTGGTTAAAATGCTCCAACTTTTCTCGGATTACCGTGAATTTCATGGAGTGTAATCAACTTGGTTGGCAAGTTTTTACGAAGCAAAAGAAGCGAATTTAAATAGCATACTACGGTACTGTATTCTGTATCTACATGTGAACAAGAACAACTAAGTCAATTTTGAAGACATGATTACCCTTATACTCAATTAGTAGGAATGTCAGTATTACAGTATCACGTCCGGTTTCAGTATTTAAAATTTTTCAATGTACGATCATCTGGACAAACGTGTTCACATATTCTTCTATTGAGGATAATCAGGCTTATTCGGTAGGTTAACTGCAATACGTGAACTATATGAAATGAGTTGTCCTTACCCGGAAAAGCCCCTGAAACGTTCTATTGTCCAAATGCGAATCGATTACCTCTTCGAAAGGAAAAAACAAAGATGGAGGAAACCTCGTGAACGGCTGAAAAGGAACGGATAACAGGACAGGAGCTTGAAGAAAACGTGCCAAACTTTCCCTCTTTCCCAATGCATTTATTTGCTCTTTTCGCACAAGCACATCGCTGAAAAATACCGTAAACGAAGTCTTTAGATTATTGATTCAAAATGGCCAAAAACGGAGTTTTTCAAAATATGAAAAAGGCGAGTTCTCGGTAATTTCCAGGAAACGCAAAGGTGAACTTAATCACACACAAATGCAATGCAGGAGGACTTCTTACAACAATGCTCAGGAAACGTGAATAATTTCTTGAATCGAGAATTTGTTTCAGAGGAAATTCTCATCAATTCACAGAAGATTCACCGGGACAAGGAAAAAAAAAAAGCATCGAATGGACAATATTGCTCTGCGCAAAATTGCTGTCGCGAGGGTTCATTCGTAATTTGAGAATCCACCGATTCCATCGCGAACAGTTGAAAGCTAACCGCGTATCAGCTCTGATGCGTGAAAACGTAAAAGTGAGACCCCCACATGAGGACACCTCAACGTGGGGACAATTTGACATAGGGACATTTATTTTTCAATAAAAAATCATGAAAAATGCCTGACGTACGGACACTGACTCAACATGAGGACATTGCATGATAAAATTGCTAATAAATTCTAGGAAAATTGACTTTTTATCAGATATTTCCATCCCTAAGATATATGTAAGAAAAAGTCTTTGGTACTTTTCCCATTCACTTTCCCATCCATTCAGCTAATTAAAAAAAATTACCTGTAGCACAGAGGGACTTCCTTTTCTTTTTGTGACTTGGATGCTATCTCACAGATGCCAACATTTCAATGAACTGTACAGTAGTATACTATTCAATGCTTCAAATGTTCTTATTGGGTTGAAAAGATTTTCACTGAATCAAATTCAAGTGGCAAACAAATTTTTTTTCGTGGAATTCTGAAGAATATTTCTTCCATAAAACACCAATTAAAATTATATAATGTAAGTCTATGGGAAAACATGACTCAACTTAGGGACACTCTTGATGCACCAATTATGCCCGCATCTGGGGGTTTCACTGTAATTGCAATAATTTCAGGTAGCAAATATAACGGCGAATTGCAAAAAGTTCGCGTTATTCCGCGATTTAGACGGGATATCTGGCGATGACTCCGCACGAGTTCTCGCAGACGGGACTAATCGATGAGCACAGAAGCAGTGGCGCTGATTCGTCCAGCGCCGAGTTGTCCTCGCACCTGCGAGCTCAGGTGGGTCGAGGCGAGTCCCTGCCTCGGCACAGGAGGTCATTCGTCCGCCGGGTTTGCGGGTCGGGTTCGAAATTGCCCGTTCAGCTCCCTGGAGTCGGATTGCTCTCGACGGATTGCCCTGCACAAAAGCCCACTGGGTTGCATTCGTTGCAGACATGGAGGGGAAAAAAAGAAACGTTGCGGCGTTTATTAGCGTCATTCGGGGCAATCGTCGCGGTTTCCACCCGCCGCTTACCCAATAAAACGTTGCCCACCTTCAGGTTCTTGCACTGCCCAAATGAACTGGATGGTGCAACATTAAATTATATAAGTTTACGACGCATTCGGTGAGGTACGGCAACCCATCGAAGAATAGTGGGATACAGGTATCGCATCCTACTCATCCGGAAAAGAGTTTCAATATAAAATGAATACCGAATTCAAAATCGTCATTGATAACCCTGTGAGTGGTCATTACATAATTCATGACACGTAATTCTTTTCATTAGATTTTCGGAAAAGTACAATAGAACTTTTATTATCCGGACTATTTTTGCCTTGTACAGATAATGGAAAAACGTTTTTACCACAAAAAATAAAATAAAAAGCCCAGTTCAAATATAATTTCCAATACTGCTCTGACAAAGCATGACACCTAACATATTAACGTCCTTTTCACAAATCTTTACGAAGACACATTTCGTATATCTCAGAAATGTATGCCTCAAAATCCTGTGAGCAATGCGTAATTGTTTGCAACCCATCTTCCTTGCAAGTTCATAAACTGAAAAAGGTATACTGTACTTCACGTTCTTCTCGGCTTTTCCGATGCTGCGTATACCGATCTTGATTTTACAGGGATTCTAATACCAAATGCCAGACGAAACACAGTTTCTCGAATAGCAAATAATGAGGCTGTACTCCATACCTTTCCAAATGTGCAGTAACGTAATTAATGTGCATATCTTATTAAAAAATGATGCCTCGAAGTATTCGAATATCAGTCCACTTCGGCAGAGATTTATATTCTAATGCGGTGTTCCCCAACCTTTTTGGGCCCACGGACCAGCGAATTTCCATAAATTTTTTTGCAGACCGGCAAAGTTTCATAACATTTTTACAGACTTGAAAACATTTTGCTTGATAGAGTTTAAGGCAGATTTATGAAATGTTCTGCTTCATGCAAAAATTAAGTTAAGCACCTATGGAGTAGGTATAGCTTAATTTCATCAAAAACTTCGAAAGGTGGGCTTGATGAAAGGTTTCTCAGAATGAAAAATAAAAATACTGTGATTTATTTTAGCTGGTTGACTTACGTTTGAAATGTTAGCTAATAACTTTTATTTTTCATTAATGATTTCAACTCCATTGTCTTTCCAAAGTTTTAGATAATGATAACAGAGTTCATTGCTACTTTAAAAAAATATACAGTACTATCCTGAAAATTTCCCGTGGACCGTCAAAAAATTCTGCGGACCGGCGCCGGTCCGCGGACCAAAGGTTGGGGAACACTGTTAATCTAAAGTAATAGACTGCACTTCTTATAAAAATCATGAGGACAATGAAAAGCGTGGAATATTTCTAATTCAGCTTTTTTTTTTTAATCCCACGCTAGGACAACTTTGTCGTCATACCTGTGGAACTTATCAACTTCGAATGCGTTAGAAAAGGGTCATATCAGATTATGATACTAAAAGCGTGGAATATTTCTAATTCAGCTTTTTTTTTTTAATCCCACGCTAGGACAACTTTGTCGTCATACCTGTGGAACTTATCAACTTCGAATGCGTTAGAAAAGGGTCATATCAGATTATGATACTAATTCGCGAAAACGCTCTGATGGTACTACAGTCGGTGTAGACGGCTCAGCACACCCTCGGAAGGACGCAGGAGTATGTCTCACCTAGGCAGGATGTACTGTACTCCGGAGTTCGTCCTGCCGTCCGACAAGGCACACTTCAGAGTGCATCCTACTCAAACAATATCATCAGGGCAGGAGATACGCCATCAGGTAGGGTGAACTTCCTGGGTTATTTCCTTATATTTTGCATGAATGAAACTCAACAAAATGCCAGCTCGACGAATGCAACGAACACGCCAAATTCTGGATTTGAAAATCATAAAAACACCGAGTTTTTAGGGACCACAATTTATTTTTGGTTCACCCCGTACATAAAATCACAAGGAATTCTCAAGGCAGTCAACTGAAATTACAGTATTTCCGAATGTCAGTCGGTGAATGAATCATTCCGTTTTGCCACAGGCTCATCGTGCCTTGGTGGCGAATGACTCGCTCGTGTTCCCTCCATTTTCATGTTTTGCTTATTTTCCCAACTTAAACTTGGCGAGCCGTCACGTCTGCTAAGGTGGCATTTTGTTGAGTCGTCGCCTTCGATCAGTTGTTCTTTTGCGAGTTCCTCCTGTGACAGTTGCCGCAGTGGGAGTTGTCCCGCACTTGACAGCGAGACTGATTTTAAGAAAAATAGCGAAAGACGTCCCATCATTTGAGAAGGAATCCACATTATGGAATCCTCACTCGAATACCAAACACCCTTTTCCAAAAAAAATAGGCAAAATGAAATTTGCATGGGGCTTCGCGTGTTTATATATATTTGCTGGAGTCGTCCAGGATCCAGCGGTAAATGGCCTTTGGATGATTAACTATTTTTACTTGAAATCGTCTTGAAATTCCTTCTACGAAACCCACACTGCCGTTTCAGTGAGGAGCACGATAGCGCTGGAGTCCTGATTTATTTCGGAGCGTTTACAGTGGCAAGCTGTTAATTGAAAAATGAACAGAATCCATCGTCTCCTCCGATGTATTCTGAAGAAATTAAAAATTCGCCGCAATTTCGTCGCAGACCGATAGTTGTTTTCACTTTCGAGGCACAATGAATGTGTCGTCTTACAATCGCTGACGACGCCTCATGCATTCCAGTAAATGCGGTTCATGCCAGATATGGTACAAAATTGTGTAAAAAAGAGAGAAAGGTTTGATCAGATCATACCTGTACTCATGTTCAAGGCATCGTGACTGTTGACAAGGTCAGTTGATCGGATGCGATGAGAAGCAGCGCGTTCCAGGCCGGAGCGCAAACTCGTTTCCTCGGCCTCGTCCAGGCGCCCAGTGGCTGCCATGGCGTGGGCCATCTTGATCATCAGGTCAATGGTCATTTTGGAGTTTTCAGACACAAAAACTG